ATTCTGAAAAATATGATAAGTGCAATTAAACAAAATTCATTTTCTTACATTTTGCTATATTAAATTGGATGAAAAAACTATCTAGCACCAAATGTTTAACACAAATTTAAGTTACAACACACGATATGCTCAATTAAATGGACTTTTCATCCTTAAATTTAGTTGAATTTATTGTTTAATGCACAATGTGTTGCTAGTTGGACTGTTATTAAATTGAATTTAATATATTATAGGGTTAAATTCATGTTCTAACACGGATAGATTATTTTCGTCAAGTACCCTCGACCGAAAGTAACGAATATTGCAGCTTGAAAATGACTACGGTTGCCCTCATATTGCCGACGTTTTCCGCCAAGACTTTCGAACGCTGATGTTGTCAAACCAGCATTTATTTCCACTGGAATTTTATGCCAATCCGAATTTAAGGATATTGGTGTCTCTTTGTCATAATTTTCCAGCGAAATTTGTTTGTTTTTCTGAAATTTGATGCCGACATAAATTATTATATTGCCGAATCAAACGTACAAGTCATTAATGCATTGACAATATTATTGATGTAATTTTCTAGAGCGAGAAAAAGAACAAGAACGATGAAGTATTGATGACGAAAATGAAGTTGAAATTTTATTTGTTGTTAGATTGTGTACCAAATATGCATTACTCGTTCACCGTGCTATATAGTAGGTGTTTTTGGGAACCAATGGCAACTTCAATTTTTCGAGTCATGATGAGCTTATACCCAAGTCGCTGTAATTCTTTAAAAAGATTTGGAAATTCCAACTAATAAACAACAAATTACGTGTTTTAGCCCTTGTTCGGTATGAATTAAAATCAAACGTTTAGTAGATTTTGATAAAAGTTGATGGTGCATTTGAAAAGTTATGAATTCCATAAAATGTGTCCCTAATTAATTATTAAATTTGACTTAAATTAAAATATAGCAAATGTTGTTTAATCTCCGACCCACTTAAGCTTCAAAATTATCATTATTCTTGAAACTTATAATTATTAATTTGAAACATGAAAAGTTGAAAAGCAAGAAAGAGAGGCATTACCTTTTAGTCATATTTGAATAGTCAAGAAGACACTATTGAGCCATTGACATGAATTTAATTAGCATGGAAGAAAATGATTCGTTGAGCCATCACAAGACACATTGAATAACCATAATTATATTATTTCTTACAAAAATGCATAATGTACAGTCAAAATTGCAGCAATTTTGACTGTCCTCTTCCATGGGTGGAGCCCACGATCATTTTAATTGTGGTCCCCACCAAATGTACGTGAAAGGGCTGTCAAAATTGATGTAACTCTAGTATTGGTCTATTATGTACTCGATTATTGGAACTAGCTCTTCTCTTACACAAAGTTCAATTGTTTCATACCACCCATGTTTATGTATCTAAAACTCAACTCATATTTGGTTTGGGACAAGTCTTTGAACTGACACTATCATGCATTAGACGTGAAAAAAAGAAAAGAAAAAAGAAAGTAACAATATCTCAACATTTTTACTACTAGAAAACAAAACAAGGTATCTTTTTTGCTTTGTGAAAAGAAGTGAAATGTATTACCAAAGTCGAAATCGAGGCAGAAAAGGGGAGAAGAATCAAAGCGTAAGCATGCAAATCCATGCACATCTCAAACTAAAAAAAATGAAAAAGAAAAACTCTGTATCTTTTCAAATTTCTTATCTCAAAGCCTGGTCCCCATTTGGCCCTAGTTTGACCTATCAAATGTACCCTTTCTCTGGACTTTAATCTGATGCCTTGATGCCATTTTCCACAGCTTATTCAAGCATCTAACATTATCTTTTATCTTCTTTTTTTTACTGTGGGCATGTATTTTTAAAAATCTCAAACCATTCCTGGTGACTTGTTTTATTAAATTTCCATCGGTAATCCATCGAAAAGAAAGACCGTCGTCTGTCATTGATATACAGTTGACTTCCATCGATAAATTTCCATCGTTACAATGCGTCTTTAATGTTGTTTCTCGAGTATTCCTTTCAAGTTCCGGTCCTCGTCCTACAGGTTGCCCTGATTCTGCTCTGTATTTGTAGGGACAAACATCTCTTAATCAAATGTGGTTCCCAATTCCAAAGGGTATTGTACAGGGATTCCTATTAGGACTGAATCAAAGATTTTGTATTTTTACAGTAGACCAAATCATGTGTCAAGTCTAGATGAAAGCATCTTGTTTAATATATCAAAGGTGAAAATGCGCATCTACAATTTTTTAGTGGTTCTAGGTAATGGGGGGTTTCATAAGACATCAACCAACATGTTTATTTCTTTAGTAGGTGGTTGTTATATTATTCTTTTTGTTTCTTACTTGACGAATCTGTCAGTGCGGATATTAAAATTACAAATGACTTTCACGCAATTTAACGTTGGAGAAAAAACCTTTCATACCATTTAACCTCCATATCTAAATCACGTGAAAGCCACGTGTGATTTTTATATCCAAATTGACTCTCCGTCATATAGGAACCCAAATACACATATTTAGGAGCCCCGGTATGCGATCGGGAGAATGAACCTTTGTATTCCTCGATGATTGTAAAGTAGTCTCTTCGAAAAGAGTGGTATAGTTGTAAAATAAAGAATTTCTCGTCAAACCTACCCAACCCAACTGCACTTTGTAATGAAAAGCGATATATTTATGCTTCCCTATAAAGAAAGGAAATCAACAATTTAAATCAAGAAAAGAAAAACCCTAAAAGCTAAGCTCAAAGCATATTCTTTTTATGTAATAGTAGGACTAAGATTTACGTAGATTTGTTGTGGAACAAAGCGACAGATGATTAGATAATATTCCGATCTTCTTTATTTTACATTCAACGCCTAAAAAAAACTCCAACCCTTATGGTACAGAGTTTTCAAAGCAGGCATTGCAAGGCAGTATATGGATGCCTTACGCTAGAATTACTCTCCAATCAATCTAAAAGGGAATGGTATGGGGTGATATCTATTAAAGTATTTCTACCAATCTCTCTAGATTTTTCTCATTAGATTTTTTTTATTTGAATTTGAATTCAATTTGTATATAAGATATACCATTTTTCTTTGTGCAATAATTAAATTTTCATTTCCAAAGCTCATTAATGTTTGTAATTTTATGGTCTGCATGCAAAGGCATGGTGCGCTAACATCAATTTTGACTTGTCAGAATTTACAATAAGATGAATCCTCCTCGTATCCGAGACTGTTCAAATTTTTTAATCATGTGTATGATCAAGTGTAAAAGTCCTATAGATTCCTCCACGCAAGATTCGATGATCGAAACATAAATGTTTATTCCATGTCACGTGAAGACACAATAGGATCCCTTTTTGTAATAGACGTGACATCTAGTGGACTATAATAATTTCTTAATACAATAGAAATCATATTTTTTGGTTGAAAAAGAAAACCAATGTTTCCATGAACTTACAAATCATGCTTTTATAAAGAATGCCGACACTAAGTCTCTATTTTACAAAGCTTTTGAGATTTTAAGTTGGTGAATTTCATGATATAAGTAGTTAAAAAGTGATTAAAAGTCGTGACTTCAGTTAAATGTATGATTAAAAATAAAATTTGCCCAACTTAAAATCATTTACAAAACAAGAGCTTTGTTTTTTGATGAATCAAGAAACTCTAGCTCTGCGCAATAAGACTCGATATCTCTTGAATGACGAAGAATGTGTAAGACTAATGAATAAGTGACCACCACAATAATTAAATCTGAGGTTGCAAACATTTAGCAACAGAAGAGTCCAAGTAGCAAAACATGTTTCCAGAGTTCAAGGTTAAGCTTAAAAGTAGCTTATTAATTGGTTTTTCACGCATAAAAAAAGCATCCCATAAGCTGATTTTAAGCGTAGCCATAGATGAAACCAATATTGATCCACATCGCGTCAAGATAGCAGAAATCTTCTATTCGGCACATGACGATGCTATAGAGTAGCAATCTGTCATTATACAGTACTCTGCCTCGAATCTTCTTGTTATGGCATCGCTGTTCTTTTTATATTCATAATTTTTGGGACCATTTATCATTTGATTGGACCAATTGTTTTCATTTGATTTAGGTCCACCAAAAAAGTTGTCACGATAGTCATGCATATGTTGGTCTAATTTTCCAGGACAATTTCATTTGTACCGAATTTTTTGTAACGAAAATGTTACACCCTCTAACATGCGCGCGGACCAGCATAAATAAAAAATGAAAAATATTAAATGTGACACTCCCGTCTACACGCCCCTCACAAGAGGGGAACTCCTGTGTACATGTAGCAAAGCTCATAAAAAATTCTCAAATGTGTGGTCCTCACACCCTATTGTGAGTGTAGGTAAAAGATTACGTAAAAAAATGGATGTACAAGTAGCATTGTCCAAGTTTCAATAGATATTTAATTGAAATTCGATATGTTTAATGTAAAGGTTACTCGATAAATTACTTGAGCTACCTTTTTTTTTTTGCGCGTGGATCTTCATCTCACATGGCTCCTCTACGTATGGAGGTAGGCCACAGTCGAGGAACACAGGGATAGACGGCTGAGAATTAATCCGAATGTTTGAAATAAAACGAGCGGTTATCAGTGTGTGCTCGTCTCCAAGCACACATGAGAACTGAAATAAATAAATAAATAAATAATAGGAAAGATTAAGAGAGATGGCACAAAATCTCTTACTCGGCCGAACAGACAGAAAGCAAAATCCAACCTGTTTTCATTTGTTTTATATTTCCATTATCCCATAAAGTTATGCCTGGAGAATCTTGCACAAATCTTTCACAGTACAGTGTACAACTAAAAAAGAAACACAGAGATACAAATTAATCCACATCGCCCTCATGGACCGCCCTTCTTCTGTTTTTAATATTACAAAACAATAATGCACCACCACCCCAACCACACTGGCCCAACATGACCACCCTATTTTTATATATAAATATGCGGGTACATATTTCAACATTCTTGTATCAACTATTCCAAAATTCATCACATAAAAATGTCAAATTGTGTGCATGTAAAAGAAGCTGTTTTGATCACCCCTGCAGAGCCTACCCCAGTTCATAATCTTCAACTCTCTGCTCTAGATTCTCAACTTTTTGTACGTTTTACGGTTGAGTATTTGCTGGTGTATAAACCCTGTTATGGCTTGGATAAATTTGCAATTGTAGAGAACGTAAAAGCCGGGTTGAGCCGGGTTTTGGTTCCTTACTATCCATTAGCTGGGAGAGTGAGAACTCGGGCCGATGGGCTTGGCCTGGAGGTGGTTTGTCGAGCACAAGGTGCTTTTTTTCTTGAAGCAGTTTCTAATTCTACTGTTTCTGAGTTGGAGAAATGCCCAAGAAATTGTGAGCAGTGGAGAAAGTTCTTGTCTTTGTACGTGACGGACGTACTCAAGGGTTCGCCGCCGTTGGTGGTGCAACTGACATGGCTATCAGACGGTGGTGCTACCTTAGCTCTTGGTTTTAACCACTGTTTGTGTGACGGCATAGGCAGTGGCGACTTTCTGAACTCGTTTGCCGAGTTAGTTGCTGGCAGACGTGAAATTGGTCAGTTAAAGCCTAAACCGGTGTGGAGCCGTCATCTCTTGTGCCCTACCGTATTCGGGACAGCTCAGAGTAACAAACCCAGTCACCCCGAGTTCGGAAGTGTCCCCGACCTTTGTGGGTTTGCTTCACGGTACATTCATGAAAAGCTCGTGCCCACTTCTATCACATTCGACAAAAGAAACTTAAACGAGTTAAAGAAATTGGTGGCACTCACGAGTGAAATAATCAATGATGAACCATGCACGTCGTTTGAAGTTCTCTCGGCTCACGTATGGAGAAGTTGGGCTAGAGCCTTGAATTTACCATCGAACCAAATTTTAAAACTCGTTTTCAGTGTAAATATTCGAAAACGAGTCAAGCCGAGTCTGCCGATCGGTTACTACGGCAATGCATTTGTTTTAGGCTGTGCCCAAACGTGTGCTAGAGATTTGACAGAAGGTGGTTTAGGATATGCAACTGAGTTGGTGAAGAGAGCAAAAGAAAGAGTGGACGACGAGTACGTGAGAGAAGTAGTGGAATCAGTGAGTTCGACCCGGGCGAGTGTCGACTCAGTGGGTGTGATGATCTTGACACAATGGTCAAGGCTGGGGCTAGACAGTGTTGACTTTGGAATGGGGAGGCCTGTTCAGGTGGGACCTGTGTGCTGTGACAAATACTGCATCTTATTGCCTGATGCTGATCGAACGGATGCTGTAAAAGTAAACGTGGCAATCCCTATAAGTTGCGTTGACCAGTACTTGCACTATCTTCGGAGCACCTGCACCTCCTGATGATATGATCCACCGAATTATCGCTGGTCAAATTAAAAGTGACAAAGAGTCAAAATGAGATTGAGATTAGATTTTATTGACTGGTATAGTTGACTAATATTTCAATCTCTTTAATTAATAAG